TAAATTTCTTTTTCTACGTCCAGCCCAAAGAAAACAATGGTAGTGGTGTGTTTCAAGCATTTTGTTTAAGATTTATTCATAAAAATAATACTTCGTTAAGGCAGCAATAAGGTTTTTTCTCTTTAGATTTTTTAAAATTAATTCACAGTACAGAATTTGAATTTTGGAACACATAAATCCGAAGATGTTCAGCGAAAGTACTATTTCTGCTGTTTACATCATTTAGACACAAAAAAAAAATCATATCAAGAAAATCCGCAAATATAAGTGCTAAATCCATTCATATTTATATATTGTGTTTATGCAACAAAACTGTGAAGTATTTTCCTAAATCATATTTTTTACATTAAATTTTTTGCTGTATTTTTTAACTGACATTTCGTAGCCTATCTTCCATTAATTAAATATTTATTAATAATATATTAACCTAATTTGTTATTAATAATCTTCATTGTGATACCTTACAACTTGCTTAATATGCACTTCCTCTACTCATTGCTTAATATGCACTTCCTCTACTTATTATAAAACTGTATTATATTGTTAATTTAACCAAACTCATTACCAAAGCAGATAGGTAAAAATATCGAGATCTCTTGGATCCCCAGCGAAAAATTTTTAATTTATGTATTATTTTTCGTTCTAAGTTTATCAGAAAAATTCAAACAATTTTTGATTCCAAAAATAATAACAACAATATTATATGACTCCGAATCATCGTCATCATAACTACTTTCTTTAGTACATTGAGAAAAAAGAATAGTAAAAACTACCAGAATGAGGTAAAAAAAATTTCCGTCCTTATGGGAATAGTGAAAATCTCGGTAATTTTTAACGAAGCGAATTTGTAATGATTTTAGTGAAAATAACAAAAAAATATTGTTTTATAATCCGTATTAAAATTTATTAAATGTGGTTAAATCTGATCATTTTATCATAATACCTTAGAGCATGGCATAAAAAACATTTACTCGGTAACATTTAATTTTCAGTTTTGAATTTGTCCCTAAATGAGTGGTAATAAGAACTGTAATTTTGAAAACCAAAATTTCCGAGAAACCGTTACCATTTGAACTACAAGATTACCAAATGAATGGTTATGAAATAAAATACCATATATTTTGGTTTTATTATCTGAATTATAATTTTTTACCAGGACAGTAATTTTACCAGAATTTTTTCTCTGAGTAGTTTACTGTAAAAGATATGGATTTAAGTACTGTAGAAACGACATTCTACTAAATTATTCCCAATAAATGTTTCTAATTTTTTTAAAGCATAAGTAATGTTTAAAAGAGAGAAAAAAAACTTGTACGTTTAGAATAATTCCTTCAGTATATTTAAATAAATTTGAACTGGGCAAGAAAAGTTTTTTTTTGTCTAAAATAGGCTGAAAAATTTTATAAAACTTTGAAGACATTGAACACTTTCAGTTATTTTTTAAAAAGAATCATTCCCTGCATGCATTAAATGCAAATTTATTACTTAACTTTTTCTCTTTTTAGTCTTGTAATATCCGCTTTATCATCAAGGTACTATGTGAAGTTAAATTTAATGCAAGAAAGCTTTCGATTTCCGTTTACTTTTTACTTTAAGAGAAAGCACTCTACGAATTTCAGCTTAATTTGGTTCATCTCATTAAGAGAATTAAGTGAAATCATTTAAACATTTATCTAAATTTCTTTATCAAAAGGTTTTAGTTCGAAAACCAGATTTTTATTTACATTCCTAAGAGGCAAATTAATTGAATGGTTTTTAATTATCCTTCTCAAAGCAAAGAATTTATGATTAAGTTTTGCTATTTTCTTTTGCTCAAATTTGTTTTTGAAACATCTTTTGGTATATCTTTGAATTTAAATATGAAATTGATAACAAAATATGATTTTAAAGCATTTATTGTTATTTTGAAACTTTTTTTATAGATCACAAAAAAATTAGGATCATTAATGTTATTTGTTATTTCTGCATATTTAGAGCATTGTTAAATACGAGTAAAAACAATGGTAATCCCTTGTTAAATAAATTGTTTGAAACAATATTTTTATACATCTCGACTTAAAAATACTTTTCTTATGTTTTTAAGTATCTTAACGTATAAATAATAACTAGTACTTGAAGATAAGAAAACAATTTTCAAGAATTCTTATAGTTTCGATAGAAAGCAAGATATTTGAGCAAGCTATAAAAATGCAGTTTAAAAAAAGTTTATATTTTCCTTTTAAAAAAATTTGAAATAGGTTGCTGGGAGTTATTTTTTTCTTAAATTATAAATAAATAAAACTAAGCAATAAAAACAACCAATAGAACTACATCAATGACGGTGTGCGCATTTATTTCCAATTGTGTAAAAACTTATGTATTTATACCCACTTAACAAACTTATGTATAAAGTTATTTCTGAAGGTCAATATAGTGAAGAAAAAGACGCATTATGAAGAAGATGTGTGTGGTGTTGGGAAAAATAATAAACAATAAATTACAACTTAATGAATCACAACTTTAAACCACAACTTCTTATAAGTTCTTATAACAATTGTAATGGTTTGTGTCATTGAAAATAGATTGATTGGAGGGATATTGGCATTGTGTTGGTTATAAACGTAAATGTAATCTAATTACAATCAACACTAAAACAAGTATCTCAAAGAACAAATTTTTTACTATCACAAGTGTACACAAAGAATATATACATGCTGCCAACAAAAGAATAATGTAAGAAATAATATAATAAATAATATAATAAATAATCACTGCATCTGCGTTCACGCACTTGCGTCTGGAACATCCTCCCCACTCTGATCAACCTCAAGAGGAATGATCAGTTGAACAGGTCGGGATATTTCCTTGCCATCAGATCGTAAAGTACAAGTGCGGACTTTTCCATCGCGTTCTTTAATTAGTCCGGTTAACAATGCTCTTTTCCACGTATGTCGTGGTCTTACATCTTCGTGGAGTAATACTACGTCTCCAACACGAACATGAGATGATTTTTGAACGTTACGAACTTGGTGGAAAGATCTTAATTGCAATAGATAGTCCTTAGACCATTTCTTCCAAAATGCGTCTAATAAATCCTGTTGTTGCTTGTACAATTTTGTCAGATTTCTACTAGATGCTTCAGGCTGTGAAGGTATGGTTGTAAGTCTTTTACCGGTAAGAAAATGGGATGGTGTTAATGTTTCTTCAGGATCATCATTTCCTTGTTCATAAACTAACGGTCGACAATTTAATGCGGCTTCAACACCAACTAATGCTGTAGAAAGACCTTCTTCATCTAACAAGGTTCGACCAAGAGATTTTTGCAAACATCTTTTTGTTAGTCCGATCAAACGTTCCCACCATCCTCCCCACCAAGCCGCTTGTGCAACAATAAATTTCCACTTAATTCCCGTCTGGGCATAATATTGCTGAACTTTTGACGATGTTAAGTTGTCCCATAAAATGGATAGCTCTTTATTAGCGGCATGGAAGGTAGTGGCGTTGTCAGTGTATATTGTATGAGGGATTCCTCTTCTGCCTACAAATCTTTTTAAGGCCATGAGAAATTTGTCAGTAGTGAGATCAGAGACTAGTTCAATATGTACAGCACGAGTAGTTGAGCAAGTGAAAAGTGCGATATAGGCTGTATTTAAAGGTTTCAAGTTACGAACATAAAGTGGGCCAGCGAAGTCTATGCCAATAGTAGTAAATGGAAGGCAAGGTGTAATTCTGTCCCTTGGTAAAAGAGCTTCGATTTGTTGACTTCTAGATGCCTGTGAGAGTTTACAAGGTAGACATTTACAGAGCACTCGTTTAATGGCTTCACGTCCTCGTATTATCCAGAAGTTAGAACGAATTTCTGAAAGTACTATTTGAACACCTAAGTGATGAAGCTTCACGTGTGTGTAGTATATGAAAAGATGTACAAAAGGATGAGATCCATCAAGAAGCAAAGGGTGTTTTTGCTCATTTTTGAGCGATGCGAACTGTAATCTGCCTCCAAATCGTATGAGATTTTCTTGAAAAAATGGGTTGAAACGGCTAATTTTTGAAGATTTTGGCAAAGGGGAATTATTTTGTTAAGCGTGAAGCTCTGCCGAAAAGCATTGCTTTTGCACTGTAAGAATCCAATAGTTTTTTGCTGTGTTAAGCTCATCACATGTGAGGTCAATAGAAATGGGTTGTTTGGATCGACAGTTATACAAGAAACGAAATATCCATGCTGTAACTCTAAGAAGTTTCATATATGAGCTGAAGCGCGATATATCAATAAGAGGTTGGTAAGAAGTTATCAATAAAGATTGAGAAGCTGGTTTACGTAGTTCAGCATGAATATCTGGATTAGCGTAACTCAGTTGTTTTGAAGGCCAAAACTTTGATGATTGTGTTAGCCAGGTTGGTCCTAGCCACCAAAGATCCAATGATTTACGCTCTGTTGGTGCAACACCACGAGACAAGTGGTCGGCAGGATTTTCATTGCTAGGGCAATGCCGCCATTGTGTTGGATTTGTGTAATTGAGAATTTCGCTCGTTCGGTTACAGACAAAGGCTTTCCAACGATTTGGATCACCTTGTATCCAATTTAAAGCAACTGTTGAGTCACTCCAAAGTGTCGCTGTGTTTCTATCCAGTTTAGTTTCTGTACAAAAATAATGGAGTAATCGAGCACCCAATAATGCGGCTAACAGCTCTAAGCGGGGAAGTGTTATTCTTTTCAGAGGAGAAAGTCTATTACGACTGCAAACCATTCGAACATGAAATTTAGTATCTTCTGCGAATCGTACATATAGCACTATTCCGTAAGCACGTTCCGAAGCATCGCAGAATACATGAATGGTAACATCAGCAGAAGATATTCCAATCCATCTGGGGATTCGAATGTTGTTTAAATGTGGTAAGTCTGTAATCCATTTTGACCACCTTGATGCGATAGATGGGGGTAAGAGTTCGTCCCATTCAATACCGCATAGCCATTTATCTTGAAAGAGAATTTTTCCTACTACAGTAGATGGTGAGAAAATTCACAAGGGATCAAAAATCTTTGAGATTGTTTTCAGAAGTAAGCGTTTAGTGACCGGTTCCTTAAATAAATCGTGGTCATGCTCCTTGATATTTTGATGAAACGAATCTTCTTCTGTATCCCAATGAACACCTAAGACTTGAGTCTTACTTTTAAACTTTATTTTTTCTTTCTTCCATTCGTTTTTCAAAACTTGTGAGTTGGTACTCCATTTCGCTAAGGGAAGGCTTATAAGACTCGTGAGTTCTTGCATTTCGTGAAATAGGGTCTTCGCTTCGATTTCTGAATCAACTCCCACAACGAAATCATCCATGAAAATATTGCCTTTTAGATGTTTAGCTGCTGTGGGATAAATGTTGGAGTACATGCAGCATAATTCGTCAAGTGTAGCTGAAAGAAGGAATGGGCTGCTGGTTAATCCAAAGGGTAAACGTGTAAATTGATAGATCACAATTTCATTCTCTAGCTGCAAATGCCCATCATCATTTTTCCTAGTTTTGAACCATAGAAACTTAGTAGCACATCTGTCTTTTTCCCACAAAGTTAATTGTAAGAAAGCCTGACTTCCATCGCTAATAATTGCTTGTTTGTGAAGACGAAATCGTAATAAAGTGGCTAAAATTTCTGGAAGTAAGTTGGGACCTTGTTCTAGAGCATCGTTTAATGATGGATGGCCTGGTGTGTGAGAAGAGGCGTCGAACACTATTCGTCCCTTAATTTCTGCGTTCTTCTCTTTAATGACTACATGATGGGGTATGTAATAGCTTTTTTCTTCCTTATCATGATTTTCCGGTGCTATTTCAACTTGCCTTTTGTCTATGTAATCTTCCATGAGTGTAACATACATTTCCTTTAAGCTAGGATCTGTTTGGAGCTTCTTGCACAATGTATTGAAGCGTTTTGATGCTACGTGATAGTTATTTGAAGAAAGAGTAACGTCTTTCTTCCAAGGTAATCTAACAACACGACGATTTTCTAGGACTTCATAAGAGCTTCGAAAGTCTTCCAATATTTCAGAATTGCGAATGGACATTTCTTTGTCTTGCATGGCTTTAATACCTAAAGTATCTAAGTCCCAGAATTTCCTAACTTGATCATCCAAAATATATGGTGATGTGATGCTGATATTATGAACTGACGATAAAGAAGCGACAGATGTATGAGATCTGGATCCAGACAAAATCCAGCCAAAGATTGATGGAATGAGCACAATTGTTTCCGAAAGTCTGAAAGGAATCTCAGAATTCACCACCGTCCAGTAAAAATCTGCGCCAATCAAAACTTCAATAGGCATGTCTTGCAGAGTGTCATTCGGGTCAGCAAGCTTAAATTTTTTCTTGTGAGCCATAGAAGCAATCTCTAATGGAACTGATGGATGAACTGCATATCTATTAGGACTTTCAAATGCATGTAGATAAATTTCTGACTGATTCCAAATACTTGATAGTTTAAATCTTACTTTTCGTCTCGATTGAGCCTGATTTGATGATGATTCGAATGCATGAATTTCAAGTGAATCAGAGCTAATAACATCTAATTTTAGGTAGTCTACAAGATGTGAATGAATGAAACTGGTTTGACTTCCACAATCTAAAATGCATCTTGTAAGCTTAGTAATGCCAGTTGGGCCAGTTATATATACTCGAGCAGTCTGTAAGTGAGTAAAATTAGGTGTACGAGTATCTATGTTATTTGTAGAAATAGAGTGGCTAGGTTGATTTGAACTGTTGTTTCTACAAATAGAGACATGGTGCTTCTTTTTGCATCTTATGCAGAACGCTTTATCTTTGCGAAGGCAATTTTTTATACTATGGCCACGATTAGTACACAGGAAGCATCTACCAGAGGTTTTTAATTTTTGGATTCGAGTATCAATATCAGTTATATTCGTACAATCTTGCGGCCAGTGACCGTTAATTTCACAGAAGGGGCAAAATGGAGATGGTTTTTTAGTCTGGTTAATCTTTTTAGAATTCACATGCAAGGCTGCTGTAGATGTTTTAAATGTGTAATCAAAGTTTTGCTCACCTCGAATTTTTAGTGTTGTGAGAGCACCTTCTACTTCTTCAGATAAATATTGCACTAGTTTATTCATATCACCTTCAGATATTTTCTCTCTTTTTGCGTAAATGATCCATCGGCGACAAATATCATCCGGAAAGGCACGTAAAATTTTTGGAGCTAAAACTCGCCCGTAAGCGTTGATATCCTCTCCTAAAGCCGTTAAAGCGTTTAGTCTTCTGTTGCATTCTATAAATACTTCATTCAATGCAATAGGAGTGGGATTACGTATTGGCGAAATATTTTCCAAAAAGTCTAAATGGGCTTGAATTATTCTGTTTTTGTCGCCATATCGGTTTTGAAGAAGAGCTTTTGTAGTTTCATATGTGCTGGCACTAACACTGATTCCGTCGACTAACCGTCTTGGTTCATCTTCTAAATATCCTCGCAAAAACACATGTTTATCAATTAATGATAGACTATTATTATCGTCAATAGAAGATTTAAATTGTTCCCAGAAACACTGCCATTGTTCAATATCACCTCGAAAAGTATCGAGTTTAATAGTAGGAAGTTTCACTGTGTGAGATTGAGAAACGGGTAATTGCATAACGGGTACTTGTGTAACAGGTATTTGAGAAACGGTTACTTCTGGCGATTGGAACGTATTAAATTCAAAATTAGTTCTACTACCAAATTTTTTTGCTTTAAAGAAAGCGAGCTCGGCATTATCCACGTATTCTTCACATTGAATAATATCATTGTCATAATCACTATCTGCTAATAAACTATGTATGTCATTATCCAATTTCTTCATTTCTAACAATCAATCGGAAAGCCGATGACTAATATATTCGACATTTTCATTTAAAGTGTCAGAGGTTGCAGAAAGATCGGAATTTAATTGCGTAATAAATCGAGTAACATTACCTCGCACTGTTCTTCTCTTTCTTTTCAAAAGTGCCAGACTATAGCCAAGTTCTTTATCGTTTTGTTTCTCCATCATTGAGTAATACTGATGTTTGACGTTTCGCTAGTTTTTAAAAGAGTGGACTGCGTAAATTATTCATCTGATTCGTATTTAATTTTAAACCGAGTTGTTTCGGCACCAAAATGTGTTGGATTATAAACGTAAATGTAATCTAATTACAATCAACACTAAAACAAGTATCTCATAGAACAAACTCTTTTACTATCACAAGTGTACACAAAGAATATATACATGTTGCCAACAAAAGAATAATGTAAGAAATAATATAATAAATAATATAATAAATAATCACTGCATCTGCGTTCACGCATTTGCGTCTGGTAATCACTGCATCTGCGTTCACGCACTTGCGTCTGGAACAGGCATAGTAAAAATTTTTCGTCAAGTATAACAAAATATAAATAAAAATAAAATCTTTAATCTTATTTGATGTTACGCACATTACATCTTATTGTGTAAAAGTAATTTAACCTATTAAACAGTACTTATCTATGCTACTGTTAACAATCTAGTATCTACGTAATGTATTTATAATGTACGTAACTGTTATACTTACTTATCAACTGATTCATAAAATTATTTCTGAGGATCTTTAATGTGGATTAAAAAGCATATTATGAAGATGTGAAGCATGGTGTGGGAAGGAGATAAGCACCCGCATCAATAAACTACAACTTAATAAATTGCAACTCAAGTTCTTGTGACATTGGTATTCAGCTCACGGTTCAGGAAAACAATAAATACTACAGATTCACTTTTCTCCTATTTCCCTAAGACGTTTTCTCTTATTTCTTTATTAATACAAATAATAAGTAGCCCTTCACTTTTTCCATATTGCAGTGATGGTAAGCCATCCAAATGAAAATGGGATATTCTTTATGCAATGCATGAAGAAATCAAAACAGCGTGAATTAAGCACAAAGATTTTGATTATTTGTGATTTACTTACGTTGTTTTATTTTATTCATGGTAAGTCTGGCTTATTAAATGTCATCAACTATCTGTCATGGTTTGTTCTTGTAGATCAAAGTAAGCTTACACCATCTAACACTCTATGTTAAGAGGCTCTTTGCCAAACCCTCTTTTGTAAAAAAGTTAACATGATCGTAACTAGATGATATTGAAACTTGTGGATGATACTGCTGATTTTAGCAAAATTTGAAAGATCACGTTTCACGCATATTCATATTTATCAAAAATGGTATTTCTCAATCTTTTTTTAAAGATCTTTTTTGAAATCATTAATATTCTTGTTGGTCCAAAGCCACTTTTTTTTTCTTTGAATCGAGTAGAACGCTGCAATATGAGTCAAACTTCATCGGACGAGACTGGTACTGCTTATTCTACCTCAACAGCCGTGCGCTCTTATTCGCCCAAACGTTATTTTTACGTGATAAATATCGATCTACAAATGATTACCATCATGCTTGTAAGAATGGAAATTGATCCCTACCAGTCTTATATTATCTTACAGATCTTCACATAACGTTTCGAACAACCAATTATACTATCGTCTAACATTAGAATTTACTTTACAATTAGATCTTAAAAAAAAGAATATCAGAGATCACAGAATTACGCAAAATAAGATAAATCTTGTTTTAACTTTCTTTTTTACGTTGGTGCATGCTTATTAGTTGGCTCTTCCCTTTTCCGGCTACCTAACATGTCAAGTTGAAATAGTGGGGGGGGAGCCTTTTTATCTCTTGCGTCTATCTCACACTGACAAAGCCTATCAGAAACTTTTAATAAAAATATAAATATGCACTAAATTTTCCAGAGATAAGTTATTTTGCTTTATTTTCTGATAAATGAATACTGGTGAACATAAATGAATTCGCTCGAGTTTTCCAGTTGTATCTGAATCAGTTACAAGTCTATCAGAAGATTGGGCATCAGTTGAATTTCAACTAAGATTCGCAAAGAAGTGCACACAGAAAACGCTGAAGATTCTACATTTTCATTAACAAAGAAAGAATGATTTGTTATTTACATAGACTCAAAGGCACTTAATTCAACGAAAAATGTCTGGAAAAGAATACTGTAAACTGTCGGTAAGTCAAACTTTCGATGAGTCGAAGTTTTTCTTTTGACCCCTCAAATTCAAGTTAATGCATATCGTCTGAATATACTATCAATGATGACTAAACAAACATTGAGTATAACATAATGAAGGAAAAAACTTAAAAGAAAGTTTTTTTTTATTTAAAAAGTTCCAATGAACTGTACTTTTCAAATAAAAAAACCAACGTTTTTGGCACAATTAATATTACAGTTTCTTACAATTGTGAAAAGAGAAGTGAAATAAACAACCTGATTAAATTCGAGTTCATTCAACTGCTGATCAAGTTTATTATGCATGGAATTGGTTTTGATGAACATCAAATTTTTAAGTTATATCTTGATTTCAGTTCAATCAGATGTTACAATCAGTTTTCAATCAGACTCAAAAACTTATTAAAAAAAATATTAGATTTACCACATAAGGAATTTCTAATATTTACATTCTTCTGAATATTTATTTTATAATATCCTCAATAATACGTACAATATACAAAGAATATTTGGATTTGAGCTCAATAACAATGAGAACAAATTTTAATATTTTTCAATTTATATATAGTCTCCCTCTCTCTCCGACAACGAGAAATTCCTTAATAAATCAAGAAGAAGGCTCTGAGTCTCAGAGCAAACATAAAAGAGATTGACATAGCCCAAATATTAACAGATGTACTGCTGTGTAATATATAGCTCTCTTACTCACTCAATTCGTCATCGCTGACGTATACATTCATCATAAAAATTATGTTAGCTATATCTTTTCAGATGTACTATTGAACCGCTATTCACTATATGAGTACTAGAATCGGACTATGAATAATTCAATCTGCACTCTAAATTTCTTCTGAAGTTTAAAGAAAAATGATTTTATATTGCTCAAAAGGATATTGTCAAATAAATAAGCATTATTTGAAAACTATAGTGATAAATCTAAAACTAATTATATGTAATAGCAAATTATCTTTCGTTTTTCATTTTACGTACTTACTTATTTATTTATTTTTTAATTAATTTACACAGTCCGGTCACATTAATGTGACCACCTGTCAAAAGCCAGAATGACCACCTTTGGCAGAGCAGACCGCAACGAGACGTGCAGGAAGAAAGTCAATTAGGTTTCTGAAAGTGTTCACTGGGATGTTGAGCCATGCCAACTCCAGTGCCGTGGCCAGCTGCGCTAAATTACGCGGTTGAGGATCCATGGCACGAACAACCCGATCGAGGTGGTCCCACAGATTCTCGATTGGGTTTAAATCCGGTGAGTTTGCCGGGCAGGGGAGTACGGTAAATTCATCCTGGTGCTTTTCGAACCACGCACATGCACTGCGAGCTGTATGACACCTCGCATTGTCCTGGTGGTAGATGCCATCATTCTGAGGAAAACTCATTTGCATGTAGGGGTGGACATGGTCCGCATGGACAGATACGTACTTGTACTGATCCATCGTGCCTTCCACAATGATGAGTGAAACCCAGCGAATGCCAGAAAACATTCCCCAAACCATAACGCTCCCTCTTCCAGCCTGCAGCCTTCCGGCAATTGTTGCAGGGTGTTTGCTTTCAGACGTTTTACGCCTTATACGCCAACGTCCATCTGTCCCATGGAGCATAAAATGTGATTCATCGGAAAAAGCCACCTGTTGCCACTCTGTGGACGTCTAGTTGCGGTACTGGCGTGCAAATTCCAGCCTTCGTCACCGATGAACAGCAGTCAGCATGGGTGCATTAACCAGGCGTCTGCTGCGGAGGCCCATGCGCAGCAGCGTTCGCTGAACAGTTGTTGAGGATACACTCTTGGTAGCCCCTTGGTTCATCTGGACGGTCAGTTGCTCAACAGTTGCACGTCTATTCGTCTGAACGCATCTCCGTAG